CTCCTTTTAGTCCATTAGGAACGATGGGCTCAAGGTAGGGGCAGGTTTGCAAAGGGCAGTGTTTCACTCTGCCGGTGATGCACCTGCTCCCCAGCTTCTGTTGGGTTACTGATTCTAGAATGATCCATGAGACTGAGGGCATTCAGAATAACTGACCCCAGTGGGCTAGAGCCCACTTGGATAACCGCACACTCCTACTCCACTGGAACTGACAGCATTCGTAACAGACTCCAGTGCAATTCAGTCAACGTCTTTTCTGCTCTTACCCATGTCAGGCTCAGCGGTCACGCCGAAGTTGTAAGATGAATGAAAAAATCAGAGCCATGACAGCAACCACAAAATTGAGCACTTGCTTTTTGTCCTTAGGAGTTTATGTATAGCATCCTTAAATTCCCATGAGATATAAGTACTCATCACATTGGCTTTTTTTTTTTGGTCGGTAGTGGGGCTTGAACTCAGGGCCCAGGAGCTGTCTCTCAGCTCTTCAGCTCAAGGCTAGCACTCTACCACTTGAGACACAGCGCCACTTCTGGTTTTCTGGTGGTTTATTGGAGATAAACCTGCCCAGGCTGGCTTTGAACAATGATCCTTAGATCTCAGCCTCCTGAGTAGCTAGGATTACAGGCGTGAGCCACCAGTGCCTGGCCACATCTGCATTTTTATAAATTGATGGGTTGGGATGCAGAGAAATGCCTTTCAGGATGACTAGTGGAGCTTCCACTCAAACCCAATCAGTCTGACTCCAGAAACCACGTACCTAACCCAACTAAACATAATCAAGTATATTCTAGCTCAATCTTTCTGTGCCCACATTGTAAATGCCAGACAAGTCATCTTTATCAGCTTCATGACGCTATCATAATGAAGTACTCCCAACAGAAATGAATCCTCTTCTAGTTCTGGAGGCTGTTTCTTTAGGTTGTACGTGGTTGATAGAGAAATTCTTCTAGTTCATAGTAGCATTTCCTTTAACTCCACCTGAGGAAAAAGGGGGGTCTCTTGCTCTGGAAGGTAGCCCTAATGTAGCTACTGCTTGGTTTGGCCTAGGAATAGAAATGTTCTTGCTAAATCGGGGGGAATGGGTGAAGTGGTTTTCAGAGATTTATCCAGCTTTCCAATTTTGTAAACCAGATGGATATAGAAAAGTTTGTTTGGGAAACTTATTGTCCACCCAGATACTTTAGTCTTTCCCTTCTGTCTTCAGTTGCTGCAAGTTGACATCCAATATGGAATTGCTCCTGACAGGACAATTAACACCATTTGAAAGGCTTGATGCAGTATAAAAAATGGGAGGCCCTTTTCAAATATCAAGTATTTCTCTCCTGTTTCCCTTTTCTCTTTTTATTAGCCTACAACATACGTGTAATGTATTTTGATTGTATCTACTCCATCTATATGATTCTTTCTTAGCTTTCCTTCCTTCCCCCCACTTCTTTTTCTCTTCTCTCTTCCCTCCCTTCCTCCCTCCCTGCCTCCCTCCCTCCCTCCTTCCTTCCTTTCTTTCTTTCTTCCTTCCTTCCTTCCTTCCTTTCTTTCTTTCTTTCCCAGTAACAGATCTCTAAATTGTACCAACAGAGCATGAAACTACATACAGGTCTCTTCCAAATTCAGGACGCTATATGACTGTAACAGGTCACATGCCCATGAAGCCAGCTGCCTCTCTCAATATCTTAGCTCTTCCCATACATCTCCCCCAACATCCTGAGGATCGATGATCTGATAAAACTATACTGTCTTGGAAATGGGAGAGTCTGAGGAGCTACTCTGTCCATCTTTGGTTCTGGTCTTGATTTTTATTTAATGTCTACATCGGCCTCTGTCTGGAGAGGAATCATTTCTGCTTGTGCTAATTATATAGGAACTTTTACTTAAAGAGCACAACACTCATCTCAGTTTTACCCAGGATGTTAGGCAAGGTTACAAGTAAACTGCTTTTTTAGAAAAGAGTGAAGAATCAAAGCACTAAGAGGTTAATTTAGACTCAGACCTACAGGATCTTAGAATTGAGGTGCTCTGGAACTCCACCCTCTTCTGTAATGAGTCTGGATGCTTTCTACTTAACCCACCTGCCTACTGTACCTTGTGGGTGGTATTCCTTGTCTTTCCTTCCCTTCATAAAATAATAATAATCTGCCATGAAGTCTCCAGGGGGTTCTCTCATTTCTACCCTCCGGAAAATCAGGCTTGGTCAGCATACTTCCAATCTTCATAGGCCAGACCACCAATAGCTCAGCATGGAGCATGACATAAAACTCCCATGGTCTCTGACCATCTGACCCCCTTTCTCCTGCCCCCACCTTATCCCACCCACCCTGGTCATATTCATTGATGGGCTTTTGAGAGGTGCAGGTTGATGACAGCTAATTTTGTTGCGTTTTCCTGTTGACTGCACTTTGGTAGAATGTCTTTTAAGCAAATTATTGTAAAGCAAGTGAGTGTTGTTCTGGTGTAGATATTTGCAGCCAATTATGTTTAATGTGAAAGACAACAGCCAGACTACAATCCGCCAAACGGCTCTGGCCTGCCAAGCTCCACTGAGTTGGGATATGCTCCCAGATCTCACGGGTGGCAAGGTTTCATTCTCTCCAGGAATGTGGTGTCCAGACTCCTCACCCACCCACCCACCACCACAACCACCACCTTCTGCTCCCTCACGAGCCTCTCCATCACATCTCTGGCCTTAATTCATTTCTTTGATTCTCTTTCAGAGCGGGAGACACAGATGTGGGAGGAAGGCCTGGACTCCACTCAAAGGTCCTAATGGATCAAGGGTTATAGCTATGCCTCAGTGGTAAAGAATACTGGAAATCACGATATAAGGGGACACAACCCACTTCTGCCAATTACTTAGCTTATTTGAGAGAACTGAGTTGTTTTTTTCATCTAAAAGTGGAGGATATTACTAGCTGATGTTGGCGGTGAGGATTAAATAAATCACATCATAATTATAAAAGCATCCAGCATATTGTCTAATACATATAAACCATCCTATTGTTTGGATGTTTGTTTTGTGTGTGTTTTGTTTTTTGTAAAAAGGGAGATGGTGGGCATTATTTCTGCACAAATCCAAAAGCAAAGAGTCCATTTGTCTGACAAAGCTTTATTGAATACCCACTGCCAGTGGCTCACGCCTGTAATCCTAGCTACTCAGGAGGCCGAGATCTGAGGATCGTGGTTCAAAGCCAGCCTGTCAGGAAAGCCCATAAGACTCTTATCTGCAAATAAATACCAGAAATCCACTGTGGCTCAAGTGGTAGAGTGCTAGTCTTGAGCAAAAAAGCTCAAGAGAAGTGCCCAGACCTTGAGTTCAAGCCCTATGACCTCCCTCCTTCCCCCTCAAAAAAGATCTGATATGGGATCCCTTTGGGATTAACACCTTCTCAGACATGTGATGAGATGTGACTTTAAAGCCTAGTGGAGAGAGAAGTCTTGCCATTCCTTAGTTTTAATTTTAGGAGGGATGACAATATAGTTTGTCTTCCAGGATAGCCTGAAACTTGCTCTGTAATGCTGTGTAACCCAGGTTACCCTTCTGCCCTAGCCTCTCTGATGTGGGGATTATAGGAGTACACCATCTCCCATGGCTAGAATATGCCTTCCTTCCTTCCTTCCTTCTTTCCTTCCTTCCTTCCTTCCTTCCTTCCTTCCTTCCTTCCTTCCTTCCTTCTTTCTTTCTGCCAGTCCTGGGGCTTGAACTCAGGGCCTGGGCACTGTCTCTGAGCCACAGCACCACTTCCAGCTTTTTCTGTTTATACGGTACTGAGGAACCAAACTCAGGGCTTCATGCAGGGTAGGCAAGCAGCACTCTACCAGTAAACCACATTCCTAGCCCCGAATATGTGTTTCTTGAAGACACTCCCATTACTCTCCCAGAGAAGCTAGGTAAGAAAAGTGGCAACAGCAACAATGATTTTATGACTTGAATTCCAAGATTGAACAGCCACTCAGTGGCTCATTATGGTGCCCATAGTGCAGGCTGAGTTGGATGGCTTCCGTTTACCCTACTCTAGACATCTACCTCCCCTTCTCTTCCCTGCTCTTTGCTCCGAGACTGAGCTGGGGCTGCAGAAATGGGATCTTTGGTCATGCTTAGCTAAGGAGAGATAGAAAATGGAATAGTGCAAGGAGATTGGAGGGAGGGAGGGGACTGAGGAGTTACTTATTTCTTCATTTCGCTCCCCTGGAGTCACTGCCAGGCTGGCTGTGTCCCTAGGAGAAAGTTCCCGTCTCTCTGCATAGATTCCTCTCCCACTATGTCTAGGCACTACTCTGAGCACTTGGTTCCTTCAGGCCTAAGGATGGCATCAGCTCACTCAGTTCCAAGAAGCCCTGGGACACTCTCTTTATTCTTATGATCTTTTATAGCCAGCCCATACCTTGCAAATAGACTTGTGATATTACTAGGAAATTTCCAAATTTCCTAGTAATATTAACTCCTTCCCAGACTCTGATAACTCCCCAGGTTTAGCTAAGAAGCTCCCATTCCAAGTAAGGAGATAGAATCAACTGAAAAATAAGAAATGATGTTGCATAATAAATAGTATTTTAAGAGAAGGAAGATTTTGATTTAAAGATAGTTTCTCATCAGCTATATGAATTTGGATAAGTAATCCAACCTTTTTGAATCTGTATTTTCTTATGGTAAAACAGAAATAATAATATCTAGGCCTCAAAGTTGTGAGGATTGAATTCAATAAACATACAAAACAACCTCATGTTTTTGCACGCAGCAAGTGGTAAATAAATGGTAAAAGCTTTCTTTTATCGCTGTCAATATTAAAATTATTAATATTCATGTGGCTAACGCTTAATATTACTATAACTAAAGTTTAACATAGAGCCTTTGTAAAACAAAATGGCCCCAAAAGTAATTCTAAGATAAACAACAGACTTTTTGCCTTAGGCAAGAATGTTAAGATTTAATGGAATTTCATGGCTATGGGTTTAACTGAACACTAGTCCATCATCTTAGATTCAGTGGATTTCTTGTCCTTGGCCAGGTAGTGATTCGCAGATGCCCTCTAGCCTATGTTGTCAGCCTGCTGATTCCCAGCATCTTCCTGATGCTTGTGGACCTGGGCAGTTTCTACCTGCCACCCAATTGCCGTGCCAGGATTGTGTTCAAGACCAATGTGTTGGTGGGCTACACTGTCTTCAGGGTCAACATGTCTGACGAGGTGCCAAGGAGTGCGGGGAGCATCTCTCTGATTGGTAAGCAGCTCCAATGTCACCTAACTCTTCTTACCTTCCCCCTACCGACAATCTGATGCCACACTTCAGATTGGAGAAAGGAAAGAGATTCCAGCTAACTCCCTCTTCTCTGCTCTGGCATCTTCTCTAGGTATCTTCTTCACAGTCTGCATGGCCCTCTTGGTTCTTAGCTTGTCTAAATCCATCATGTTGATCAGATTCCTCCTCAGTGAGCGGAGCAGCGGGCAGAAACAACCCCTTCGGTGCCTTCAAGGGTGTGTTGATGAGGATGGCTCTAGAATAGACCCTGGGGCCCAGCGTGCCGGGGTAACAGGTTGGTGAGAAGCCTTGAGATCTTGGTCTTAACTTCTTTATCACTGTTGGAGTCAGTGTAGACTGGGGAAGCAGGAGGGTAAGGGTTGGAATGTATGAAGAATCTAAAAGACCTGCTTCATAGTGCTTGTGTTACTTATTGCTGGGGACAGAAGGCTACCTTCTGATAGAGGTCATTTTAGCTTGAAGGTCAAATCCTCACTCATCTTCAGCTTGTTTGATTTTCCAGTTTTGTCCAATTACCTAATGTCACTGAACTGTTAACTTACAGAATAGCAGAGTTCTGGCATGAAAGTTGTTTCTTTCTCCCTCTCTCTCTCTCTCTCTCTCTCTCTCTCTTACTCTCTGGGTAAGAAAAGACTCCTTGAGTTTAATCATGACTGTCGATTAAACTCATTCCCACAGAGAGAGAGAGAGAGAGAGACAGACAGACTGACAGACAGACAGAAACAGAGAGATAGTATATAGATTATAGTTACAGTTATGAAAAGAAGTGTAAGACTCATCCCAGGTCCCTGAAGCTCCAGTGCCAGTTCCATTCAGCAGACACCATGATGATGGATAAAAGGTTTGCCCATACAGTGATATTTCACATTTCATATTTTAATATCAACATGGGAGGCGAGGAATGAGTTTAATCGACAGTCATGATTAAACTCAAGGCGTCTTTTCCATCCTCTGCTTGTAAGGGGTTCAATTGCACAGGCCTGAGTCTGGAAGTTTTGGTGATGGATCAAAGGGCACATTCCAAGGGGCAGGTAACAGGATATCAAGGAGCAGTAAGGTAAGTACACACAGGCATTCATCCTAACTTTTGTCAGGATTACTGCAGCAAGTCAAACACTCAGGATCCTGTGTCTTTATTCAGATGCAAGGTAAGATGATCATACAACCAGCACTTTTCCACTAGCATTAGGCATTCTCCATGTATACCATCCACTCATGCTTTTTTCACCAGGTCATAATTCCCACAGGGCACTAGGATTTCCCATACTCCAACTGAACCAATGTGGACCAACCTCTACTCAGAAAAATGTCCTAAATGGATCGAGCCAATAGACAAGTCTGTTATATTCTCTGAGAGCTCCCAGCCTACTGCCCAGTATTTTTGCCCCACAACATTCCTTGAAAGATAAGACCATCAATTTTAAGAAAAAGTTCAGGTCTTAGTAGCACCTGATTCACCTAGAATGTTTTCCCCTATCATGCAGCATTCCCAATCTATCAAGACCACTGGGTCCAGTCAGGGACCCTAAAGGAAATCTGGTTCCAGCTTCGATCCATCAACAACCATCTCCAAACTCAGGAGCAGGTGGACCAACAGAAGGTGGCGTGGTTGGCGCTCCTGTATCGCTTTGACCAACTGCTCTTCCGAAGCTACCTGGCCATCCTGGGACTGTACACTATTACTCTGTGCTGTCTTTGGGCACAGTGGAGTGGCTGGTGAACACTGAAATCATGGTGGAAGACAAGAATCTACACACATCCAGTCCCTGCTGTCTCTTTACCTTGTGTCCAGGGTAGTCATCAGGAGGCTGGTGGGAAGAAGGACATGGCAGGCTGTAAGATAGTTCTCAGTCCTAATTTTCTTCCATCAGAGACTCCAAAGAACTCCAAAGCTGTTTGTTAAGAACTTTTTCCAGCACTAAAATTGCGTTGGAAAAAAAATCTGCTCCCCTCCTCTTCTCCATCCCCCTGAAGAAAAAGAATTAAAATTCAAACAGCCTTTACCTGCTCCTCCCTCTCTCATTAGCTCCCGGTTAGTGCTCAGTGCCAATTGTCCATGAAATTCCACTGCTGCTGTTAACGAAATGAGGGCCATAAGAAGTTTGCGAATAGGAAATGTCCGTGCAAAGCTCCAACTGTTTCCTCTCCCCACTTCCTACTTTCTGCCACTTGCCTCCTCTGCCTCCATGTGCTTGGTTAGCCTCTAAAAACATATTTTTTTTTTTTAGAAGGTCTTGCTATGTTGCCCAGGTAGGCCTTGGAATTCACCATGCAGCTCAGACTGGCCTTGAACCTGAATCTTTCTGGCTCCTTTTTCCCAAGAAGTGGGAATACATGAATATACCACCATGCTTAGTATCTATTCTGGCTTTCTCCACTTTCTCCTCAGGTTTACAGAGGAGAAAAGGAAAGGCTTACAGTGAACTTATTGCTATGGGTTACTCTCTCCTTCTTAGATGCATGCTGGAGAAAATACCAGATGAGAGAGTCAGAAAACTTGATTCTGGCTCTGGTTCCACCACTAGCTGCCCAGGGAAACTTGAACTTCTCAGGCTTCATTAATTTAGGTGAAATTGAGGCTATTTACTGTATCCATATCACAGAGTTATAAAATGAAGCGATGTGCTTCGTATTTGGGCATGTAAATCACATATCACAAAATAAATATTGCTATTAACAGATGGATTCCAGGCTTGAGTCTCTGAGGGGGGATGTGATTTCCAGCTACCTCTATCGGAACATGGTTATGGGCTCTGGTTCTCAGCCACTAGTATCTTTCTTATTATAAGGATCCAAAGGCCAAGGTTTGAAGACATCAAACCCCAGCACTTGCAGAGAGCCTTGAGCAGTGTGGGGGCCCAGAGCAACTTCCTGTCCTAATTCCACACAGTTCACCCAAGAAACAGTCATTCTTAGACACAATAGATCCTCACAGCCTTGTAGTGCACTCACTCTATCTAGTGCCCAGTGGCTCCCATCTCAACTGGCAGGCCAAAACACATCCTGAGTCTCACAGCCAAGTCAGGTCTCATGTAAAACAGTAGAATGCATGGCTCTACCTGCTTTCTCCAGTGCCCCCTGTCATGAAAGGAACAGGGCTTACTAGCAGCCCTTATTTGACCCAGCAGCTTTAGCTCAGCCCCTCCAAATGTTCATTCCTTTCCTGATTCCTGCTTCATAGAGAAAGGAAACTGAGGAACAGTAGAAATGGGATTTCCCCCAGCTGTGACAACTCTTACCATCTGTGGTTCCCCAGGATCTAAGGTGGATTTCACTAAGAAATAGCAGCTCCCAGCCAGGCTCTGGTAGCTCACACCTACAATCCTAGCAACCCAGGAAGCTGAGATCTGAAGATCGTGGTCCGATCCCAGCCCAGGTGGCAAAGAGTCCTTGAGACTCTTATCTCCAATTAACCCCCAGAAAACCAGAAGGGGTGCTGCATTAGCCTTGAGCAAAAAAGCTCAGGGATCATGGCCAAGCCCTGAGTTTGAACCCTACAACCAACAAAAAAAGAAATGACAGCTTTACTTCTCAGGACTGAGGTCTGGAACATGTCTGGAATATGGAGGTGGTTAACATTGGTCCCATGCTAGCCAGATGGTCTTTAATCCAGCTTAAGATCTCAAGATCTCAACACTGCTATCATGAGCTCCCATTGCCTCTGCACTTCTTATTTTGTACCAGTACTGGGGCTTTAACTCAATGCCTCTTACTCTCACTTGGCTTTTACACTCAAAGCAGGCACTCTACCATTTAAACCACACCTCCACTCACAGTCTTTTGCTGGTTAATTGGAGATCAAAGTCTTTCTGCCAGGATTGGCTCTGAACCATGATCCTCAGCATTCAGCCTCCTGAGCAGCTAGGATTGCAGGTGTGAGCCACCACCCCCAGGCTCTGCACCTTTTTAGATTACAAATCAACAAATGACAGAAGGCCTCCCTTTTCCTTTCCTTCCAACACCACCTACAGTCAATCAAAGGAGAGGAGCCATGGCGGCAAAGGAAGCTGAACTTCTTACCCTTTTTGTTGACAGTCATATCCTGTAGTCCAGGTTGGCTTAGGACTAGCAATCCTCCTACCTCAGTTTCCAGTGTTGCTGGGATTACACAGATGCACAACATACCTGACTTAACTCTTAAGTCTCTACACCCTGCAAGTCTCCTGTGGTCTGATTAGGAGCCTGGAAACTAAGAACCAGGAAACTAAAGAAAAGTAGCCATGGAGAAGGGGGCTCTGGGTGAGAGATGATCAGCCCAGGGCACCCCAGCTCCTGTGTTTCCATCTTGGAAGGGTGAGCCTTCCTGCCACCACCCCAACCGGAGCTCATCATCGCCCTATGTCATCAGCCCGTTCCCCAGTTCAGACTCCCTCTCAGCTGCCAGCCGCTCAGCCCTGAGTTATTTACCTGCAGAGACAGTGAGGGAGCGCTTCATAATTAGCTGAGCCCCAGCGTGGAGGCTTTTTATGAGCAGCCACGCCCCCCACCACTCTCTGGTGTCCATAATTGAAATGACCCACACCAGTGATTAGATTAAGGGGCTGAAGAAGCTCAGCATGCCATCCTCCCCAGCTCCAGGCCTGTCGGGGAGGTGATGTAGTTAAGTTTGTGCTTCATTTGGCAGAGGCCATAAAGCGGGAATTGCAAGAGGCTTTCTGCAGAGACTGGAAGGCACTGCTGGGCAATGATGGGTAGACTCCGTGTCAGGTGACAGACTCCAAGCTTGAGAGAGATGGAGCCCTTTGCTCTCTGCACCTTCTCTTCCTCTCCTCCAGCCCAGGGCTGAGCTCCAAAGATCTGGGACCCAGCTGAGCCTAGCAGGCTCATCAGCTGGCCTGGGGGTCACTGGGGCTCAGCCTGCATGCGCACAGCCAGCCCTCCATCAGACACATTCCCTGTCCCCTGTTTGTCCTCTTCAGCCAAACTCCAGGCTGAGAGCAAAGGAATCCAAGGGCTCTTGGCTGCTCCATTCTCCTGCCTCAGTACCCAGTGGTGCCTTCTGAGCTTCCTGTTCGTCTGATTGCCCTGGCCCATCTTTACCTGATGGGGTCTATTGAGCACCAAAATGTAATTTAGCCAGGTGGCTAAGTTTAGCTAAGTTTCGTCTTGCTCCTTCCCCTTCTACTATCTAGCCATACTTCCCAGAGGACCCCTCCCTGCTGCGCTGTTTCTCTAAAAGCATCTTCTGGACACTTCGGTACTCAATGAAGAACTTTTTACTGGCCCCGATTTCTACATAGGTTGAGTTAGCCCACCACTGAGCACGAACTCGCTCCAGGGGTTGGGAGGTACAGAGATGGCGGCACAATGCCACAAGGAGCGCACCTTGCTACCAAGCAGCTGGGCCCTAGCCACCTGCCAATCACTGCACTCCACTCCGTAATCTCCCCCTCCCCCCCATAATCAGAGCAGTCAAGTAGTGCAGCTGGGCCGCTGAATTATAGGCTATGGGCAGATGGCAGAGACGGCTCTGTTGTGCCGTCCAAGGAGAGAGAGAAATGAGGGTGAATCAACATCGCCCCCCTCCTTTCCTGCAGCACATGACATCAGACACCCTTTGTCCAAGAGCCATTCCCTGCCCTGCTCTGGACAAACTTTTAGGACCCCCTAAGTCACGGCCATTGTATCTCCAGGGACCTTCTGCCCAGAGGGTCTCAGTCACAATTCTCTGACCTGGAGGCTGGAACTTCCTTTCACAGACTGGCCTCTGATGGATGCACCCTGCTTGTTCACCAGACTCCTCCCCTCTCCCCAGTTCTGGGACGATCAGGTGAAGTGAGGCTGGGTAGCCATTCTCCCTGTATCTCCCACATCTGGTACCAAAGCTGACAGGAGCAGAGCACAGAGATCTAGCAGAAGAAACATCCACCCCAGCTTTCCTGAAGGGCAGCCAGCCAGCCATAGATGAAAGACCCAGTTGCTATCGAAACACTGAATTCTGAGGAGTGGGAGAGAGAGAGAGAGACACCCAGGGGACAGGGCAAGCTGTTACGGCCACCGTTCCTGACTCCCAGAGGTGTCTGTGTACCCGGCAGAGGCGCCAGGACTCAGAACTGACATCCCATCCTTCCACCCGGGCTGTAGCCTGCCCTGTTGTCCCCGCCACTGTGTCTCAGCTCTGGTTCCTGGGAGGGATGAAAGCTCTCTTCATCTCCTAGACCCATTATGTGATATTTCAAACACCCATTAGGTTTTATGGGGCTTCTTCTTTCTTTCTTTTTTTTTTAGTCTATAGCTACAGGAGATAGTTCTGGGGCTGCACTCCAGGCTTAGGTATCTCGTGCAGCCTGAGGATCAACCCCACCTTCCCTGTCCCAGTGCCTTTCTGCCACCTTGCCAACAGTCTCCCTGCTCCCCTGTGCTTTTGGAGGGCACTGGGGAGAACCTGGTCTGGTCGAGTTGGTTTTACGGGCCTGGAGTCCCTGGATATCTGCTGCCTTGGGAATATATGTGCATGTGTGCGTGCATGCGAGCGTGCGTGCGTGCGTGCGTCCATGCGTGTGTGTGTGTGTGTGTGTGTACAGGTGAGGTTGGGAAAAGGAGACTATACTTGTGGTATTGATAAAGGTGGTCATGATCATGTTTGCTACACAAACCTGCTACCTACAGGACGCACTCGACCTGTCATGAATAATTATCATCATGTCTCAGTCCTTGTGATAATTTTTTTTTTTGCTCAAGGTTAACACTCTAACGCTTGAGCCATACCTCCACTTTCAG